CACTTCAGCAAATAAATAGTTTACCGAGATAACTATTGCTTACCAAGACAGCAGTGTCATTTAAAGAGAAATAGTACAAACTAATGTCACCAAAAGTCTAAATTCATTCTTTATTTTATTTTTTAAAAGAGGGAAAAATAGACAACAAAGCTTTAAATAACCGGTATTATCAATTTGTATTTATCTCTCAATTGAATAAATGTAACGGTAGTTACCTCACCACTGTTAACAATATTTGACCCTCCTATTACATAAATATGTTAGTTAATTTAATATTCAAACTCGTGTACATGTTGCTCGAATTCGAGCAATTTCAAAGTAATACAGAATTTATTTCAAAACGAAAAAAAGTAATAATCAATGAGTTTAAAAGAGTCAACTCAAAGATCACCAGTGTGTAACTGCTGGAGATACTCACGATGTATATACAGTAATCAACATTTCCTGTAAATATTTTATCATATTTCATAAATTGGTATTGCTTTTTAATGTTTCTACAAATGTTTCCTGACTTATAGCTGCATAAGGTTGTCCATGTTTATCTTATTTATTGATAAACCTATGTATGGCACCACCCTTGTCGCCAGCAGTAAGTTTACAAATTTCAGTAATTTATTAATAAAGATAAACACTTTTTTGATCATATTAAGGACTTCCTGTTGTCTGTAACAATTTTATTTGTTCAATCGGCGTATTTTTATTTATTTAGCTAAATAAAACATTTATTTCATTGAAGTAAACTAATATAGGCCTATTTATATTCACTGTACTGTGTATAACAAAATATCAATTGAGAAACAAACAATTACACGTAATAAGAACCTCGCTAGTCCGCTGCATTGTGATAGCTGAAAATCGTCGGAATGAAAACCGCCGCTACAAGATACAGAAGTTGGTACGCCTGCAGTGCCCTCCACAGCTGCGCGCGCCGCTGGCACTGCCGCTCAACACATCCCCACCTAAAAGACGAGCAAGTGGTAAGTCGGTCGGGAGGATTGACGACAAGTTGGTTTCTCGTATATAATAATTTAGATTTACAGGCCGGTCAACTGGACTGACGATGAAATAACTTGTCGACGTACTGGTTTTCAGTATTTATCTATTTAATTAAAAAAGACGGTCTAGTGGCCAGACGACCAAGTATCTTGTCGGTCAACTGGTGGCCCCCCCAAACCAATAGCTACAGTAACCATTAAATTTAGATTGGGAATAAATCTATATATTTAATTCCGTAAGTGAATCGGTCCTCACAAAATATCTTGAGCTAGGAAAAAGCATAGACAAAATTAATTAAATATAGCCTAGACTGTCAGCCGTGCTGCGGTTACCATAGGTTCTCTGGCGAACAGGCCGTAACTACATGGCACTCCCAGCGGTGTGCGCCAGAACCTACACAGCTGACGGTCTATATTTTATTCTTTTAGTCTATGGAAAAAGGTATCATGGCTTAAGATACAAGGGCGGTGGGAAAAATATCAGAAGTGTTAAAAATTAACTTTGCTCTGCCCCACAATCCGTCAAAGATCCAGTAATTTTATAAAAATTAATGTGATTTGGTTATCCTAGGCAGCTTTCAAAATTAGACAAACCAATAGTAACCATTAAATTTTGATTAGGCCTAAATTAATATGCTCAAACTTTTCTTATTTGAGCCTCTAATACTCTAGTGCATCAAAATTGTGGATTTTATGGATGCACACCAATGGATTTTATCCCTATGATAATGTCATAGCCACAACACTCTAGGTCTAGCCTGAAGAAAAATGTAAAATGGTACCACTCTAAGAGTCTGCATGTGAAGGGGGACATTTATAAGAGCAAACTACTACCTAAATATAAACCTACAACTTAATAAAATATCATATCACAGTGCTATATTTTAGCATGTCAACCACAAATATCCAATTTATTACTTAGGCATTATTCAATAGGTTAATCAGAGGAATCAGAAGTATCCTAACCAAACTCTTCAGAAGATGAGGATAGGAATTCCTGTTGAAACATAACATCTCAATTTAATCCAATTAACTTCCGGCAGCTTCATCTGTTTTAATACTGTAACTTATTTCTTTGACAGTGTTTTTTAATATTAAATTACTAGTAGGCTTTCGTGTGAAGTTATTCTTTTTTTTTTGGAGGTATTTTCTTTTCTTTCCTTACTCTTTAAGAAAAAGGAAAGAAAAGAAAATACCCCTGCCGCAGTAAACCTGCAGACTAAGCGAATTTCAAATTGTCTCATACATTTTTACTAAAATATTTCCATGAATAAGGCATATTTATTGCCAATTTAAATAACATTAGATTTAACGAGTGCTTAGGTTTGCTGCTACGGGGAAGGTAAAAAGTGTTTTTTGACCATTCGTCAATAGTACAGGATGAAATAAATAAATTTGCTACATAGTATCAACATATATCCATAAACAAGTAAACTTCAACAGTTTTCATTATCTCCATAAGAATAACATGGGAATTTTAAATTGCACTAGCCTATTTTTGAATTTTCTCCATTATCATTAGGCATAGGCTACAACAGCGCTTCTCTATATACTAAATTATTTCTTCTTTTAAGCTCTACAAAACGGTTTAGGAAGAAATTGTGAATTTTTTTGTTTATAAGGTCAATGGGAAAACCCCATTTTTAGCCCATGAAACACCCCATAAACCCCCGTTCCCATTGTCCGATTATCCTGATTCGCGAACTCGTTCAAATAAACGTAGGTTTACACGTTTGTACCAAATTTCATCAAAATTTGGAAAGACAAAGAATGCTTTCCTAACCATAGCTCTGAGGATCTACAACGGCTTGCCTCAGAACCTTAGGCCTACCAAACTATCCAATCCAAACTAACGACCACGGCTGAAATGCTACAAGTGGGATAATTTAAACTTACCTTCAAGTATGCAAGTAATTAGCAAACCATATCTTAGGCGTACAAATAGAAAGAAAGATTGTAAATAGACAGTGAGCAAGTTAGTATCTTTTAATAGTTTTGAAAAGCGAAACAATAGACAATGACTGACTGACTGATACATTCTAAGCTATACTTTGTACTTGGAATAGGAATCTGTGGGATCTCTGCTTTTTTCAAGAATCTTATATATTTTAATGAAATCTTATAAGAAAGTAGGCCTAAGCATTCCTATACTGAAAAATGTATAGCTAAGTACCGTAAGTTACACCACTTTTCCTAGCCTATGGAATACATTTGATAACTTAGACACTTTGCCAAAAGTCTTTGAAATACAAATGTGTAAGTTAGCGTTTCATAGAGTTTTTCGTTAAATGTGAAAATATTATGTTTTTTCTTGATAGCTTAGGCCCTAAGTTAAAATCCTTCTAAGTTACAATCCATCAGAAGTAACTTAAGTTAACTAGTCTCTCTGATGAACGATGCTAGATAAGTTAATATCTGTATGATGCTCGTAGGATGTATTTAAGTTATGTGGTATAACTGACTAGGCCTAAGTTATAAGCCTAACTTAGATTAGCCTAACTTACCAGAGTATAAGACAATCTGGGTATCCTAACTGATAGGTAGGCTATGGCGGTTTTAAAGTTTAAACCAGATCCCTTTTTTCTATTAACTTAACATCATAACATTATGTTTATATCTTATGCAAAACTTAGGCCTACCGGTATTCTAAAAATGGGGCTGACCTTTAGTTTACGTCCTACGTTTACTCGCATAAGTATCTAGCCTACTGCAGTTTGGTTGAGGTTATGTTAAGTTAGTTTAGAAAAGTTTCATTGTTGAGTAGTTAATGTAGGTCTACAATAGTAAATGTAGGACGTAAACTAAAGTGCAACCCTAAAAATCATTGAATAAAGTTAGGCAGATTGGAACTTGTACAATTAACTTAGGACCTTTATAACTTAATTAATGTTTCGGAATCATATTCCAACCAAAAAATAGTAAGTTACCCTATTTAATAAAGGGAAACACTTAGTAAAATAGCCTACCTATGGTTTGGAAATATATAAAATTGTTTTTGTTTCAAGCGCAGTAGCGAGTGAAGTGAAATTGAGGTTATGTTACATTATGAAGAGTGGTGCATAACAAAACATTTCCTTGTTATTACATTGTGCAGTGCTTTTAGAGCTTCTCATTAAAATCACAGAAAACATACTAGCCTACTAGGCCTATTTAACCCAGAATGCCAACCGCATGGTAAAAAGCGTTAAGTACTTTGAGAGAGCTTTGCCTCTCTCAAAGTATGTTTATATGGTTATAAGTACCGGTATAGTAACTTATGGTTATAGTAGGCCTAAGTATGTTTTCTGTGTTAAAATGCACTAATAATGAGAAGATAAAGGAACTTACCGAGCAAGTAGTACAGTAGCTTCAAATTCTAAATAAAAACAATTATCTACAATATTCTAATTTAAAAATACATTTCCCGAAGTATGGATTTGGATTATTTTGTTCATCTTCATCACACAAAACACAACATCAACAAACACAAACACACAATAGAATAGATAGAACCGAACTGAACTGAACCACACAGAAACAAAGCAACGCAACGCAACAAGCACAATTCAAGCTTCAAGCAACAGCAACAGCACGTGTTGTGAAGGAGTGAAGTGGAAGTGACTGAGTTGAGTGTTAGTGAGTACTACATTCCAATCCGATCCGATCCGATTGAATCCACTCCACAGTTCCACAGTCATATAGAATAGAGAAGGCTACACAATGAGTCCAGTCAGTCAGCCCAGCCCAGAGTCGAGTCACTTTCCCTTGTCCTGTCATCCAGTCCAGTCCAGGTACGGTAATAATCGGAAATTATGACTGCTATTCGTTTTGAAATAACGCCTGGAATACTTTGCAATTGCTCGAATTCGAGCATCAGGTGCACTAGTATTAACTAATCAATGACAACTGTTAAAGCGCAGGAAAAGCAAAGCGTTTTATCATAGATAAAACTTAAGTTGGTTAGTCGGAGTTTATTTTTAAATAGGCTGTTGTAAAACATAAAAAAACTAGTAAAAATTGTATTACCATTGACTATACACCTCTACTAGATTGAACATGTAATGCATTTAGTTGATAACCAGATAGCGGTGCGGAGCAACGCAACCTATCGTCATATAACGGAAACATGTGTTCTGTCTGGTGCTGCCCCCGCGCGGAGAATGTGAAAGCTACTAGCACTAGCACACTACAATGAGAGACGAGACTAGTCGGCGCTCGGCTCGGCAGTCGCCGGGGCCGATGACGGCGGAAGTGATGTAAATAAATAAAACTATCACTTCCATTATCTCACCCACACGGGCTCAACGTCGAGTGACATAACTCTGGCCTCTGACACTGCTGACACCGTGTTCATGTAACGATAGTCAGCTGTTACTATGCAACTTTTGTTAATGAAACATTAAACCATTAAACAAAAGTATCAACTGACTTGATGTTTTCAACATGACACGGTTCGGGAACGCCTCACCATTAATAAATAGATTATTTCAACACCGGATACACATTTTAAAATGAACCTTTCATTAACTGTACTATACAATATAAAATGGCAAAAATCAACATTAGTAAATCTAGTTATGTAACAGCCTGCTGTACACTATTGATTAGTTAAAAAGTTAAAAATATTGATTACACTATTGATTACACTATATTGGTTACACTATTGATTAGTTAAAGAAGTGTTAAAAATATTTGCTTAGACGCTATTTCTAATTAATTTTAACAGAGTAATTATGATACTTATTTTTTATGAGAAATAGCTACAATGAGTCAAAACCACAGATTTGAATTAGGGGACTAGGCATGTGTAAGTAGTCCGTTCCCTGACGGTGTAGGGTGCGAGTTCCCCCGTCTCAATTCGTTGGGACATGACATGCCGCTCGCTACCTTTGAGTGACGTGTCATAAAGTTTTTGTGCCATCTCCTTCATCCCTTAGTTTGACACCAAAATGTTAAAAGCTGTATTGTTGCCAAACTTCAGTTCGCAAATGTTTGAGCACGGCGACGGTCGTAACGGTTGTGCACGTCGTCGTTAGTTTTGACCGGTGTGTCGTGTCGATTTCGAGTGCGTGTGTTTAACGTATGTTGGTGAAAACGTAGGGACTTTTTTATTTACTGTTTCAGAATTGGTGACGAATACTTCTAGGTATTGTTCCATGGGTCAAAATAAAACTCCCAAGTTAATGAGAATGTAAGTTATAAGAGCCTACCAACGTAGGCATCCACTATTTTTAATTTTTATATACTAATTTATGTTTATTAACTTAGTCCAACGATCCACACATAAATTTACGTAAGGTATTTCTTTGCGTTAAAATTTTGGCCGACTGGGAAGTCGTAGAACGACGGGGACGGGAGACAGATCAAATTGAAGGTCCCTATCTCGTGACAGCCTTTAAAGGAATTGTGAACTCCCGAAAGTTTTAACACACATTTAGATCTAACGTAAAATGCTCTCCATAACAATATCATTTAAATTCATTTATCGCTGATTATTGTTTACTTCAGTACAACTTAAAATTATTTATAACATAGCAAATAAAGTCAATGTCAATGCGCAATAACCGACACTAGTAAAATTTGGATTACCTTTTTGCCAACTAATTCTGCAATCTACTGTATACAACCTTTGACTATACGTATAGTCAATGATACAACTATATAAAATATATGAAACTAAGAATAACGTGACATATAAAATTTATACTATTTTGTTATGACTTAGAATGTTAAAATCAATTATTTTTCCTGTGCAATTTGCAAATTTTTGTATTTTTATGTAAATGTTTTAATCGTATGATAACTTGTAAAACTTGTAAAAGCATATTTTAGTGAAATTATAATCAGCCAAATTGAAATTCGCTCAGTCTATAGATTTTCTGTGGCAGTATATTACTGTTTACACAAAAAATCTAAAAAATATACCTCATAAAACTCAGGAAGGGCCCAGGTTGACACGGCAATGACTATAGAATCTTTATTCCCTATATCCATGAATGGTTTCGTTTACAACGAATTATTCCCTGTAAAATATTAATACAGCATTTCACAAATATTAGAACAGACTCAGTATAATAGATCATAAACATAAACAAATTAAGTAATATACTAATGGAATTACATTAACATATGGTTTGACAGCTCCATTTCAGTAATGTTAAATTTAAGTAATGTTGCCCTCTCGTGCAGTATTTAATATGTTTGAACCAGCTGTGTGGAATTATAGGTATAGAGGTATAGGTATTATAGGTATAGAGGAATTATAGGTAGAGGTGTATAGTCAATGGTATTACTTTGTTTTTTACAAATTTATAGCAAGCATATAAAATGCATACAAATAAATTTTGACCCATGTTTTAATACCGGTATATAAAAAATTATCAAATTTACTTATATGACTTTGAAATACATGATAAGAGTTTGAAATGGGAATATACACCGAAAAAAGTTTGTTGGAATAGCACCTCTGCAAACTAATAGCATATACAAATTCACATTGTTCTTGGTTTTGAGCCAAACGCTGTAAATTCTTGGGCACTCTTGGGTTTGAAATATTTAATACCTAATACAATTTTGTGAATTTTCTATTTAATCAGGTTTTAGATTGTATAGGTACTAAAAATAAAACAACTTTGTACTCTGCTATTATATTTGCAGTTAAGTAACTGGCTCTTCAAGCACTCCTTTTAAAAATTATGTAAAAAAATACAGCAAAGTTCTAAGTAAATGTATAAAATCAGCAAAAAATTTCATACCACAGAAATAAAATTAAAACATCTTCAAATAAGACTAAAACTGCCTGGCAGATTGTGAAAAAAGAAACAAATACTGCTGCTAGTAACAAGAACAGATTTCCTTTTTTGTCTCAATCTATAAATATTAAGGATCAGTTAAATATAGTCAATAAATTCTTTATAGAGACTTGTAAGCTTTTAAACAATGCTGATAAGTCAATCAAATTTTTAGAACAAGGAATCCATCCTGAATCCATGTTAATATCATTCAAAATGACAGATCCTCAAGAAGTTCAGCAAATAATTAATGATTTAAAACCTTCTAAATCTTCAGGATGGGACGAAATATCACCTTTTATCTTAAAACAATGCTCATCTTTCATCTCAACACCTCTTGCTCATTTAATTAACACTTCTCTTTATACAGGTGTGTTCCCAGATTTATTAAAGCTGTCAAACGTAATACCAATTTAAAAAAAAGGAGATCCAAAAGATTTAGCTAATTATAGGCCAATTTCATTACTGCCGGCATTTTCTAAAATTTTTGAAAGGGTAGTTTATAATAGGTAATATGATTACTTTAACAATTGTCAACTTTTTAACGTAAATCAGTATGGATTCATGAAAGGTAAAAGCACTGTAGATGCCATATTTAGCTTTGTATCTGAGGTAGCGGATGCTCTTGACAGTTCGCAGAATGTAGCTGGTCTCTTCTGTGACCTGTCAAGAGCATTTGATTGTGTAAATCATGATATCCTGATCCGTAAGTTGCAGTTTTATGGTATATCGGGCAGGACTATTAAATTGTTGGTTTCTTTTTTATCACATAGAAAACAGTGTATAAGGCTGCAGTCACTGGGGCTTAAGTCCGATTATGAATTCATCACAGAAGGTGTTCCGCAAGGGTCTATTCTTGGACCCTTGCTATTTTTGATTTATATAAACGACTTGCCTATGGCCTTAGATTCCAAATTAGTAATGTTTGCTGACGACGCTTCTGCAATATTTACCCATCCTGACAAATCAAGGTTTCCACAACTGATAAAACAAGAATCCTATAAGCTAGAAATTTTGGTTTCAAGCTAATGGGCTATTATTGAATCACTCTAAGTCACTTTTAATCAACTTTCAAAAAAAAATACCACAATAAAAATTTCCAATATGATAACACCACTATACCATGCTGTTTTTCTGAATGTACCAAATTTTTAGGGATAACTTTAGATAATAAATTAACTTGGAAAACTGACGTTGCAGAAGTTATAAAAAAGTTGAACAAAGCATATTTTTCAATTCTTATTTTATCTAGATCAGTAGATGTCTCCACTCTTATGATGGTGTACTATGGGTATGTTTATCCTATTCTTAATTATGGAATCATTTTTTGGGGCAATTCTGACAAAAAGAAAAAGGTATTTAAATTGCAAAAACGAATCATTAGTATAATTTATTCTCTCAAAAGTAGAGATTCATGTGAAGATATATTTAAAATCAATAACATTCTTACTTTTCCTAGCCTTTACATCTATAATTTACTAATTTTTATGAAACAAAACATCTCTAAATTTTCTGTTAGTTCAGACAACCACAATTATGACACAAGACACAAAGACTGCCTTACATATCCCAAACACAAATCTTCTACCTTTGAACTTTCGCCCCACTACTCTGGTATTAAATTTTATAACAACCTGCCTGATTGCATTAAGTCTGCATCTTCCCTCAGGTCATTTAAAAAGAGTTTATTTAAGTTTTTATGTAACAAGTGTTGCTATAAGCTCAATGACTTTTTCCGATGAGTGTTGTACGGCTTATTTATTTATATTATTTTTATGTTGGTATTCTTAGGAATTGACACTATTCATGTATATTTTGTACATAATGAATAAACGATGTTTTGATTTGATTTGATAATGGCTGGTGACTATTAAATAGCGATGGTAAGTTGGTAACACAATTTGTTTGTTCTTTAGCATCAGATTTGTTAATGCTGACTGTGAATTCCGACTCCTTTCAGCTCTTATAAATGAATAACACCATTGTATGTTCTGCACAGATATGGTGCTGATTCTGTATCATTTGGACCCAAGTCCTCCTGTGCGGTCCGTAGATCTGCTGATACACACCCTAGGACTCAAGGCTCAATACAAGACTGTCAATCTGTTTCATAAGGACCAATTAAAGCCCGAGTTCTTGAAGGTACCCTGTCTGCAGCTTTTATTTATCAGCGCTTAACTAACATATCAACTAAACTAATTTCAATTTCAACTATCTCCCACTTCCCAACCACCAGCAAAACTTTCAGGCTGTAATCCATGCCACCAACCTCGATGTGCCACTTGTAAATATCACGTCAAACCTTCATCATTCTGATTCTACCAATGTCATTTGCCAAATTTCCTGCAAAAAATGTCCTAACGACATGGCAAAACAACGCTCTTGGAGTTTGTATGAATGGACGGCACTTGGCACAGATGAATACAATGAATTTATTAGATATTAGATATGATGTAAACCATCCTGATAAATAAATGCAATACTGTATTTGATATCCACAAGCATTCTCAAAATTTTCAACAGTGTTTTTTCATTAAATTAAAAGGCATGAGAAAATTAGACAAAGACAAATCAGACATAAAATTAAGACTGTATGAGCAAGCCCATCACTTAAATCTAAAAACGCCATCTAGTCTACATTTGAGATAGTATATAATTTTTTCTTTCTTTCTTTTTATCAAAATTTTCTTTTTTATATTTGATGAAAAAATTCTCCTTCCTTCTAAATCCTTCCTTCTAAATCCTTCCATTTAAATTAGATGTATTTTGGATTCTAAAACCATCTGATACTGCAAGATTAAACATTATTTGTTTGTTCCTGAAGAAGGCTAATGCTGAAATAGTTTGAACTTTTTTTGTTATAGTTTTGTAATATTTTATTTTTTATAATGAAACAGCCGTTTCGTAATTACTATGAAGAAACTAATTTCAATTTATGGTAGCCTCGATTATGATGGGTGGAATTATATTGGCATTACCATTTTTTTTTTTTTTTTTTTTTTTTTTTTTTTACTTCTAGAAATGTGTTATTTACACTCCTTTTTATTGGATTAACTCCTGCTAAAACTGTGTTACAAATAAACACAGTTTATTGGAAACAGATTAAGTCAAAGATATAATATAAAAAATTAAAAATTATAGATTTTTTAAATACCATGACAATAAGATGACGTTTTTCCACCTGACACAAACAAAAGGTGAAATTATTACCATAACACTCATAATATGCTTATTCGAAAATTTATATTCAACTCAAATAAATTTTCTGAATCAAGAATTACTATTTTTCACATGTAACTCCTAAATTAAATTAAATCTTAACAGTATCATAATGATAATGAAAACGTATTATAACAAGCGACCACACAGTTAACTCTGCAGCTTTAGATTATAATATACATTTAAATTTTAAAAATGCCTTTGTAATAAGCTGTTAACATAGTAAATATTTTGTTACAGCTAAATCCTCTTCACACTATTCCAGTCATTGATGATGATGGATTCATACTTTGGGAGAGGTAAGGTTGAGCAATTTGACTCTGATTTTTACCATTCAATTGTGATAGTTGTTGTAGCCTTTGTTACAAAACAATTTGTAAATCTTTGTTTAATTTCCAGCCGAGCAATCCTTACCTACCTGGTCTCCAAGTATGGCAAAGACGATTCTCTCTACCCGAAAGATTTGCAGAAAAGAGCACTTGTTGATCAACGACTTCACTACAGTAATGATGTGTTCTACATTTTCATACAGATTATTGTAAGTCTAACATATCCGACAGGTTTTCATTGAGGAGGGAATCAATAGTTTAATAGTAATCTATACCATCGGTATCTAAAATAGTTTAGAAAATAAAAGGCTCAAGATATTGGAGCAATGAAAGTGTAGGTACTGATTGGATCTTGTAATTCTTGTAAATGAATCTAATATTTATATAGGTAAAACCAAGGTGGTGGGGGGGGGGGGAGTTTATACCACATTTTGCTACTGACAGCTAATATAAATCATAAATCTTGGATATATTTGATTGTTAAAGTAGATTAAAGAATAACTTTCAAGATAATATACACTTTAGTTATTTAATAAAACGCTATCCCAAATAAAAACTAAACTTGTTCTTTTATATGACAAACTGTTTCAATAACAAATTTTGAATAGACCCTACTGATTTTAAGAATATAAAATTTTATAAATTAGTACAAGTTGGACTGAGCACAGATGTATCTGTACTGGTAACCAATATAGAAACAAATACTTAAGCCCTACAAAAATCATTATACAATTGACGGTTACTCAGATGTTAGTAATTTAACTGGACATATTTACAGAAAAGAATTCTGTACTCTGAAGCCACTACGATCTTGGATGAGCAGCTGGAAAAGGTAAAACAAACTCAGGAAAACATTGAGAAACTTCTGGAGGGACAAGCATTCATTGCTGGGGACTCCCTCACTGTTGCAGACTTCAGCTATGTGACTCTTGTTGACATTTTAGAGGTAGGCCTCTTTATTGATGTTGAAATTAAACTGGTTTTTCTTTTTTTACAACTAATAAATTTTCTAGAGTTCTTGTATTTTTATAAAGACCTACTAACAATGCGGTAAAGTTAATCTTTTCAAACTATCGGTTCAAAATAGAATTGAAAAGGTTAGTTAGCATTGATAAAGCCATTTTTATTACAACTGATAAATTCATTCTTTATTTCTGGCATCTTCCCGGACAAATTATAGATTTCTAAAATCATTCCATTTTACAAAAAGGGGAAGAAATTAATGTTCAACGAACATTATCGTCCAGTTTCTATTCTCCCTTCAATATCTAAAGTTTTTGAAAAAGCCATGCAAGGTGGACTATGTCATTTTTAGAACAAAATAGTCTTCCAAATGACGAACAACATGGTTTTTGTAAAGATAAATCTGTCACCACAGCCCTGATCAATTTTACTGAATCACTATTGAATCACTATACAAACAAGAAAGTATTGCTGGTATTTTAATGGATTTCACATGAACAGCTGCTACAGAAATCACATTATCCTGGAATTAAATACCCCCGCCGCAGCAAACCTGCCGTCTAAGCGAATTTCCATTTGGCCGAATTGATTTTCAATTGATCTATTTAAATAACATTAGGTTTAACGAGTACCTAGGTTTGCTGCTACAAGGAAACTAATAAAGTTGTGTGTTTTTAGTAAAATATTGATAGCTTACTATAAAATGAATAAATTTGCTAAGTTTGATCAAAATATATCCATAAACAAGCAAACTACAACATTTTACAATATTCTCCATAAGAATAACATGGGAATTTTAAATTTATCATTTTTTTAGTTTTCTCCGTAACCAATAATCGTACAAAAACACTTTGATATACTGAATTGTTTGTTTTTTTAAGCTCTTTAAGAAGGTTTGGAGAAAAATTGGGAAATTTTGTGTTTTGAGGGTAAGAAGTGAGAAAACCCAATTTTTACCCCATAAAACCCCCCATAAAACCCTGTTCTCATGGTCCGATCATGCTGGATCGCGAACTCATTCAAGTTTATCCCGCCTTACACCTACAATCCAAATTTCATCAAAAACGGATAAAAATTACTCAAGTTATCGTGTTCACGGACACATATATATATATATAAATCTATATATATATATACCTATATATATATATATATATATACATATATAAAAATTTTAACGAATGGTGTTTTTGGCCTCTGGGGACATTAAAATGAAAAAGTAAATCGGTCCCGGGCCTAAGTCTTACCATGAGACCTACGGTAATAGCTACTTCCCTATAGGGAAATTCGCTAAAAAAAAAAAACTCCTTTACAGTGGTTGAGGTCATATCTCACCAACAGGCAGCAGAATTCTTTTAAAGAAATACCCATCTACTCTATAGATAAACTGTTTATGAACGTATACAGCTATAGTTTTATTTTCTGCATTTGTTGTTTAGGTTAAGTATTTGTACATAGTAACTTTAAGCTTGGCACTATTTATTGTCTTGTACATGCTATAAATAAAGATAATTTGAATTTCAATCATAAAAGAACTATAAATGCTATGGAAGCTTGATTTACTATCATGAAACATTCACAGTGTTGTAGGGCCAAGGAGGCAATGTAGCAAAATTATATCTCTGGTCCAGATAAAACCCTACTCCAAAAGTAACACAACAGTTTCATTTGATGTAAATAATATGAAGTGTTAGTCACTAAAATGTTTCTTGTTTGTTTTCAGGTCTATCGCCCTACAGGAGACAAGTTTCCATTAACTAAAGCTTGGTTTCAGCGATGTAAATCTACAATCAAGGACTTTGATCAAATCAACAAAAAAGGCGCAGACCTATTGATAGAAAAACTCAAAGAAAAGCTTTCAAAGTGAATACAGTAGAAAAAGAGGAACAAATCTATCAAATGTTTAGCTTTAAATTGAAATACTGTACTTAATTTTAAAGTTGGTACCATAAACTGGGGGAAAAAATTAAACAGTAATGAAATTATAAAACCACTTTATTATTTTTTTGTACTTCAATGAGGAAAACAATGTCTAAGTACTACCACAGATTAAACATACTCCCTTATTAGATTTTATTAGATCCTTATGGATCAACTAAAGACAATTGTATTGGTTCAGTCTGGTGCCACTAGGGGAGTCCCTTACAGTTTTGTCTTTCAATTTCAGTTACAGTATTACCTTTAACCAAATAAAACAATCTGATCATAAACAATAGCTCGTCCCCTGGCTATATAACGAAAAAAGTAAAACACAAGTCATAAAATCAACCCGTAGAAACAAAATGTTGGCAACACTATCGGCAATACATGAATTAGACATGAAATAGTTATTTGTGTAACTAGTGGTGAAAGTGGCACTTTGCTGCACACGAGCAAATTATATTAGTTATTATATTTTAATTAGCTAATGAGCATGTTATATTAGTTATGCGGAATGATCTCGAGTGCAGCAAAGGCCTTTTTCACTCGTGTTACACATTATATTTTTCCTACAGTCACTATTAAGCACATAAATAATTAGTCTTTCAAACACTATACAACACGTTTTTAGGTTCAGCTGGCAACACAAATGGTGCCCTAGAGAAAGTAGTACCCGCGGTCCGTATCACTCCGCTATTTTTCCTCGGCAAGAAATATGCTCCGCGTTTTGAGAATATAGTTCCATTAGTTCCGTATGTTTTTGTAATTTGAAGTGGTTTCCGCGCCTAAAAAAAATGCTTTAAAGGTATTTTCTTGTTTATTAAGATCGTAGGAATGTTTTAAAAACGTTTAAAAGAAAAGTCCAGAAAGTTCAGAAATACCGAAACTATAAACACGAAATGACAGGTTAAATCGTAGTTATAATAGTCAATCAGCTGCTCATAGTATTATTATCTTTAAGTGTTGCCAACCTATTTCCAAGCGTACACGGATTACGTGCATAATAGAACCACGCTGTTTTGTGTTGTTTCGTTGGAATCCTGATGTGCGGCAAAGTATAAACCGTACGGCAAAGTATAAATATGCAGCAATTAACAGCTTTCTGTACTATAAACAGAACAAGAAAGCCAACTTTGCCGGGTGACTGTAGGAAAAATGAGTTTCAGAATTTATAATGGAATAAGAAGTCTACTTATGTTAATTAATCAATGGTATTACCAACGGAGCAGTATTGCATGTTTAATTATAGGGGAATTACTAGTTTTCAAGTACTTTAAAAATATGAATAATTTTCAACTTTTTGTCAAATAACACTTATAGTGAATTACACTATCAACCAAAACATTCATATTTAGCAAACCTTTTTTAAAATCTTAAAACTAAATGAATATTGTATATAGTTCAGTGGATACATTTCCATGAATGTAAAGCTAATATAATCAAACAAAATTTTCTTCTTAAAAACCAAAGTATCTTTTTGAATTAAATCTCTGTCAAATTTCTTACTATAAAAAATGTATCAAAACTATTAACCTAATTGAAAACATTAGTCTAATTTGCAGAGAATACAAATTGTAAAACTCTTAACCGTCTATAAGAGCACTTAGTTCTAGTTTTAAAGTAGGTAACTACAGGTTGAAAAACTTGGCAAAAACTGCAAAGCTCAGACACAGTAACTAAAAAAATGCAGCTTCTTGCTATAAAAACTTGCTGGAGGGATTCCATTATTTGTTAATATATGTGATTTTTTTAAACCCAATCGTAAGACCAAGCCAGATTGTATTACAATCCATTTTCATTTTAACAAATCAGTTGGGTAGAAAAATAAAACTACAAATTATTATTAAATGGAAACCTCCGCCAAGTAAAGTCTCGATTATCCAAACTAAATCACAAGATGAGATAAACAGAAAGATTGGAAATTACAGAAAATAATAAAAAAACTATTGTTAACACACTTTCACCACGCTACTCGATTAACAGCTGGTTTCACCTCTCTTGGATCAGAAAGTCATTGTTTACAGAAAGGGATGCGGTAAAGTCAGCTTGAGTACGGTAAATTAAATGTTTGCACTGGGCCTAACACCGTCTAGGGCCGATTCTTAAGACACCACTATTGTTACAAAAAAAAAAAAAAACTCAAGATAAAGCAATACTCATTCACTCAAATTACACCACGACTCAGATGAGAGAGGTAGCAGAGAGTTATATTAGTTTGGGGAGGTGACGAGTAATAGGTGGTAGAAGGTAACTGTATTTACCGCGCTAAAACAATCAGAATGTACAGTCAGGTGCAGAGGGCGCTTATCTTCTGAGTACAGACAATGAAAAAGATTATGTCTCAACCTACCCGCAAGAATATACAGTGCACACGAAAAAACCTTTTGATTTCAAGGTACTCGAACACTCAAGGAGAGGGTCGGATAACTTGGAAGGCTGGATAACAGTCAGACAAAACATGGATACGTTCTATGAAATGGCGACCATACAAATTAGGTATTATTTAAGCCAAGTATGAATGGAGATGAATATAGGATGAGTGGCGCGATCTTGTAGTCTTGTTAGTGACTATGTCCGACATTCCTTAGACACAGCTGTTAATTAATAGCCCAACTTAGAAGGTCAGATAACATGGAAGGTAGGTCGGATAACACAGAAGATTGGAAAACAGGCAAGTTTGGATGACCAAAGAGTAGATAATCTAGACTTTACTAAATACGAAATCATAATACTTATTGTAAAACTGAACAAACTAATGGTAATGTATTTTGGTAACTCCATTAAGGATCGCACACAAAAGGATACACGGTAGAGAGCATTAGGCAAAGGTTAAGTTTATACAAAGGGTTCACATATGTTGCGATTGTAAGAAGGATTCGTACCTTTTTGTTCAAATAAGTATAAAGTTGAAATGAAAGTTGAAATTAATTGTTATATTTTTTCCTTTACAAATGCTGTATAAGAGTGAATATAGGAATCTGATTACAGTTCTTGGAATCAGCATAATAAATTATATCCTAACCAACATTTTTTCCCTTGATTATATGAGTTTACACAAAACATAGCAGTTTTAAAGAGAACTACAGATAGTCATGGAAAACCCGAACAAATATAACCTAAACTAAGAACTGTGTGCAAAATGCAGGCCACATTTTTAAGCTCAAATATTTAAACATGGCTTTTGATTGCCAAAAACATCAAGGAATTAAAACAAAACTCTATCCTGATTATATACCCACACAACACATATTCTGTAAATCAATGCAAACTTCATTCTCTGTTTAAGATGAGTCACACCGACCTAATTATGAGGTTAACACTGAGCTAGAAATAAAACTGGAGTTAGCACTGGCACAGCAACTTTGCTAGAAAATTAGATGCTGATAAATTTTTACATGTTACCAACTACAAGCATTGATCAGCTCAAGGCTATTTTACAATTCCACAAACCCCGTGGTTCAGATTAAAATTCAGCCCCTAGTTGCAACGTATTAAGTATAATGTCTACAACGTAATGAACCAAGTAGTATATAAAGTGGATGTCTCTCGATTCTCTTATTCAGTACTACCTGCAGTTGTATCTCTAGCTCTGTGAGTAAAAATTATGCGATTCTATAATATATTGGAGCTGAACCTCACAAACACATACAAAAGTTTTATTTTAATTGTTTTGGATCACTACAAAAATGTACGCTAATACACGGTAAAACAAAATTTTAAAAAATATACCAATGACCTACATTTTGGAACATTCTAATTTTTTGTAAACTGTCTCTTTGTACTTTACACATGTTTGTACAACTTTGTTTCACAACTTAAACTAACAAATTTACACACTAACTTAAGACATACAATAACGAGTAAATGATTTTAATAAATAAGCAATCAACAACATAACCACTAACAAACAACATTAAAGAAATAACGGTTTTTTTACAAAGTAATACATAACAATTTTAGAAATACATCTCTTATTTACAACTCAGTTCTTATTCATCAGTATATATGATGTGTTTTAGTAGTAGTTGCTCTTAGTGATACATGACTAATGTACACCAAGAACAAATTACCCTTATATACAAACCCCCTTATATAGCACCCTTATATACAAATTCTCAGTTCTTTATCAGTATGTTTCTCAAGTTGGTATTGGACCAAGAGTCTGTCAGTGTGGTTGCTACTATGTACCTATTCTTTGATATTTAGAATGCAAATTCAATGAATGCAAACTACTTAGCATATTCTGGAACTTGAGTAAAAATAGAAGTAAAACCGATGGTGGACGGATAGCTACCGATTAATTGGAATCATGCAATCAAGTATACAAGCTAGACATTTTGATTCTTGTGGTATTGTTTAAATTTTAATAAAATACTATCAGACTGAGAGTTAGCAAAGTTTGAGTATTATCTCTTAATGATACACCCGTTAAAACAACTGTGAAATTCAAACAGCTGTATAACTTAAACCGGTAAACGTATATACGTGCTGAATTTGAAAAGGTAAGTAGTTGAACAGGATACTTTTTCTAAATATTGTTTAACAAATTATTTCTTGCTTTACTAATTTTTTTTTAGTTGAGCAGAAAGCTTTCCTTGGGAGAAGAGGTTATAGTAGTAAAGAGAGGTCATAGGATGTAGGTTTCAGCTTCAACAAGCACTGTTTAACACAAACTAGTGTCTAGTAAACCGCTGCCTGACAATGCAAATAAATTTCAACATAAAAACTTTAAATAGCCTGAATGTTGTTAAAAACTACATATTTTTTATATCATGATTTGTATGACGTAAAATAATACAGTATCTAAATAAAGTTTTAAATGTTGAAGGATATAGATTAATGACATTATAAAGTGTACCCTAATTAAAGATCTAGTGACAACCAAAACCAGCACTTAAAACAGTGAACAGGTCCCATCTAGAACTAGATACATGTGAGAGAACAGGGACCAAAATTTAAGGACACAGAGAAGTTTTAACTGTTCATAAATCTATAAAAATAGTACTTTTAAAACATCTTTCAAATCTGATGTATAAAAATGTGAATATAAAATGTTTTCCAATATGCAAAAATACATACAGTTTGATTTACACTTAACACAATACAAAATGTAATCTTTTTTCCGCAGTAGACATATTTACATAGCATTAGCAAACTGTACATTTTTTATACAAACTGCCCAATGACTTGAGCTTCAAATAAAAAATGTGCACTCTTAAATCTAGCAAAGAAATAGCACAACAAAATCAAAGTGTGCAAACAAATTTATCAAATCATTCTTACCTCAGCTTAAACACTGAAAATTACATAACACACACATACACTTTTCTTTCTTTAAATTTTGTAGGCCTACTAGGCTCTACTATATAGGTAATTTCATACAAAGGAAATTCAGACAAGACTTCAAGACATGAACAAAACATAGATCAAAATCCAAACAATCATTGAAAATGACAAACACTATAGACCTTTACTTTACACAGTTTACACACAACGAATAAACATAAAATTGGCACTGAAGTGAACAATAATTTACATGGCTTTGCCGAATTGTTAATGATTGTCATGTCATTCACACATTCAATTCAGAATAATTTCAACGACAAACACAAATCCTACCTTACCGAACGGGAATACTTCAGAATCTAGTCGATCCTAACCTAACCTAGCTCAACACCTACACTACCAACAGAACAGAAACACTATCAGTGAGAACAATAACACAAACACAAAGTACAATCACATGTCCGAGGAGGATGGAATGATGAAGCTGAACGGAGGGCTGAGCTGAAACCACACTCCAGGGCAACAACAAAAATCGTATTGACCGTGGGTCCTGCAGCGCCTCCTAGTCCTCATCCCTGCAGGGTTCCGGACAAACATGTGCATCTTCTCCAGCAAGGCTGTAAAAGCGACAAGAGTTAATGAAATAATCAAAGACGGTGGAAAAAACCATCATGTGTCCTTTATTGAAGAATGTGGTCCAAGACACAGAGAATTCTCTTACCTGAGAATGGCGTTCTTTGTTTACTTTCTCCCCCTATGGAGAGAATATTGTTTTTTTCCACATTTTCGAGTTTAGGGCTTTGAGTGGATATATCCATTTTTGGTCCTCCTGAACCCAAAAGAGGTTTTCAAAGTTATGTGTGTGGGGGTTCGATTTTGATGAAATTAGTTATGTGGGTACTAATCCCTGGTATCTCCAGGCCTTTTTTCATTTCATTGAAATTTTGATTTCTAACGGTGATTTTTGAAAAAAAATAACAATAAACTCGGATCTACATAAAAACGGCATGAACGATTTTGATTATAATAGCCTATAGTACGTTTTGGCCCTTTCCATTCATAAAAATGGTACTATTCCCATTGCTGTAAGATTATAGTACAAAAGTTATTGCAGCTGATGTGATTTTTTTCATAAAGCCCGTAAAATAATGTAAAACCAAATTTTTTTTAACCCTCTAACTGCTAGTTATATTTGCCCTTGGTGCTAAGCATTTTTTACAGGCAATAAAAAAAAATTAGTAATAAAGTTAAAAATTAAACAAATCATAACATATTATATATTTTCTTGTTCAGTATAAAATTATCTATAAAAACATACCATATTAGTGCATGGTTATGTTTCCATAAAAATATATTTAAAGATACAAACAAACAAAATATAAAAGTTTGTTTTCATTTTGTAACTTTGCACATAATAAAAATAAAATTATTTTGCTCTGAACTAAAATTAAAAGTAGCCATTTTGTAGTTAATGTAATAAGGAACAAGAAAATATATACTTTTATGCACATAAAATAAAAAATAAAATATTATATCATATCTCATTTATGGACAGAAACCCTCACCCAAGGATCAAGAATAGGCATAGGCCTAGGCCTAGGATGCGTACGTTTTCATTACCAACACCAAAAAAATCTTTGTCAGAATCACTAAGATCCTCACTAAAACCCATACAGATGTCACTACTATCCATTATTTACATAAAAACACTAAATTAATACATTAGAAACCACTTTGGATGACATAAACAAACAGACTCGGTAACTACGCAGGTTAGCACAGCAGACAGCTGGCGCAACAATGTCAATTTTGCAAGTCATTTTACAAAGCAGCCAGTTGGGTTAAAGCATTAGAGACAGGTATCGGGAGAAAGCCTGAAATCTGACGTTTACGGAGATCCCAAACTCAATCCAGTTTCTTGTACACTGGAACGGAGTGAAGTAGATTTAACGACACCTTACGTATCGACTCGCTCGAGTCGACTAGCAGCTAGAGGGTTAAATGGCTCCAACAATTTTGGTTGAATTTTACCCTTTTATGGTCCTACAACCCCCACTGCTGTAAAAATATTACGGTTCAAAAGTTATTAAGCTTTTGTGATTTTACCCATAAAATACCATAGTTACTCCCACCGCTTGTTCATGCTACATCCACTGCCGTATAAATCACACCAATGAGTGTTTTTGTTAGACGTCTGGTTCTAGCAAGTGATTTGCTCTCTGGTACAGAGATGCATTTTCAGCTTCCAATAACTCATTGGTTCGATTAGTTGGTAAAATGTAGGCAAAACTAGATGGCATAATTGGTGACAACAGCATGTCTTATAAATTATCAAATGATAATTAAAGTAGTTTTCATCACTAGGAGGGAAATCTAGTGCTCGTTTTCGTTCACCCCACCTCACAACATTCTGCAATCATGTAGGCCTAATAAAAAACTAAAAATTCTACAATAATAATTTCTACAGCTACGACCCTCTCTAGCTACTATTTATTTGTTAGTGACTTACAATGTTAACAGCAAAACTCATAACAGTAAAATTGTATAGTTAAGATGCAGAAGATTACAATTCTAATTACAGTTTTGTGTGATTAGTTTAAATGAGTGATTTTCATTTAAACATGGCAAAGCATGGAAAAGCACCTGCAGCCCAATAACCAAAAAATACTTACCAATCAATGTTTTGCCGCTCTGTAAACCCGCATATGTATCCACCTAGTAGGAAAATAAGGTAAACATTTGGAACATTAAAAAGGTAATAGGATCTATGAAGGGTCAGTTTTTGTAACATTTGTACAAAAACAACAGTCTGACCCCTTGGCCGGAAGATCCCTTTAACCCATATTAAACACAAAAATCAAGTTAATCCAGAAAGTCCACAATCTTCCATTTGAGACATAATTTTTGTTTTACTTTTAGTTAAAAATATATTTACTCTACTATTATACCCTTTATCTATAGTATCTATTTTATCATCCTGAATTTTGAAAGAAAAAAAAATATTGGTACTTAGGAGTAGGCTACAGTAAAATGGATAAAATGTGCAATGAAATTGATGAATCAGTTTGCAATGAAAAATAATTTGCAAACATCAAAATGTCAGTATTCTATACATTAGGATGTAAAGCTGTAAATGACTTGGGGTTATTAGTTCAAAATACAGAGGTCATTCCTGGATACACACATAAAGATACCACAGTGCTGGGAACCACTTTACTTAACAGCTTCCAACAGTGATTCCCCCACTTCTCCTTGGAGCAAGACACTTTCTAGACTAGAACACCAAGTCAGGTTGTATTCTTGGAGGGATGGGTAAATCCATCATTGGTTATTGGTCCCCCGGAGTTAGATTGAGTGGGAGTTTAATTTATGTTTCTTGAGAGAGAAAAATTTTCCATTTTTATTTTATAATTGCGAAGAAATATTTGTTTCATGTATTTATAAAAAAAAAATTGTTATTACAATACAATATTTTGTTGTTGTTGTCCTAGGACGCTAGGTACGAGCCTGGGATTGTTTTTCACATTACTTCAGGCTAGACCTAGAGGTTGCGGCATTATCACTTAGATAAAATCCATTGGGGGCGGGGATCAAACCTGGGACCTCAGGGACTGATGTCCCGCGATCTAACCACTACGTCAGCTCGCTCCCCACAACAAAACAATACAATACTGGTTGTAACAAACAAAATAGCGGGTTCCAACATTTTTTTTACTATTAATCGCTCAATTTAAATTTTCCGCACTTTTATTATTTTCAGCGCTACCATATTTTAAACTTAAGCTCACTTCACTGAGCACACATCAACACAAATCTAGATACTTACACAAGCATCATCAAACTGGCCATCGACCACTGGGAGGTCCTCCCGACGACGCTTCCTCACCGTGGTCCTCTGATGCAGCTGTCCAGGAATGAACAGGAAGCCAGACGCCTGCTGATTAATGGGTACCTGGCAATCCTTCGGCTTGACTGGGGGAGTCCACCCGAAGATGTACCCTAGGGGCAGGCTGTACCTGGGCACACCTACCAAAAATAGTCACCATCAAAGTTATTTAACTTGCACTCTAAACTATATTGTAAAGTAAAAAAATTAAAAGTTCAATATTTTTCAATTCTGTCTTCCTCAGGCCAAAGAATGTCATCCGGTTTTGATGTGAAAAACTCTCCATGTGTGCGTACAAAAAAATTTGAAAATACCGGCAAAACGATATGCGTGATGTTTATTTCTGTGTGTATGAAAGTGTTTGGAAATGCTCAACAAACATCGCTCGATGTGGTTTATTGTAGATATATGAATGCTGCTAAAGATGGGCTGTAACAAGCTCAAAACAAGTACATCATAAAGACGACTACATTTGACACCTTCTGGCATGCGTAAGTAGATTTTCATCTTAATTGAATATGGCTGTTCAATTTTCAACAATACCCCCTGCCACGGCAAAGCTGCTGACTAAGCAAATTTCTATTTGCCTGATTTGATTTTCACTTAAATATTTCCTTAAAAAGATAAATTCCCTATTTGAAAAATTTTATGTTTAATGAGTACCTATGTTTGCTGCTACAGGGAGGGTAATAAAGTATTATGTTTTAGTAAAATGACAATAGCTTAGTATGAAATAAATAAATCTAATCTACAAAATTTGATGACAATATATAGATAAACAAGCAAACTACAACAATTTTACTTATTCTCTATAAGGTTAACGTTGGAATTTTTAATCTTATTTATTTATTTTTTGTAAAAAATAACTGTAAAAACACTTTAATACACTAAATTATTTGTTTTGTTAAGCTCTACAAAATGGTTTGGTGAGAAATCAGGAAATTCTATATTTTCATTAAAAAAATGAGAAAACCCTTATTAAAAAAACCTTGTTCCCATGGTCCAATCATGCTGGTTCGCAAACTCGTTGAAATAAACCTAGGTTTACACATTTACATTTGTACCAAATTTCATAAAATATGATTGTTTTTCTTTGAGTTTTCGTACTAACCGGACACATATATAGGCCTATTGTGAATTCAAACGGATGGCTTTTTTGGCCTCTAGGAACATCAAAACAAAAAAGTAAATCGGCCCCATGTCTAGATCTTAACATAAGACCTGCGGTAATAGTTTTTTCTCTTTATAGGAAATTCGCTAGTATACATTTATTCACAATTCATACTTCAAGTTGCAGTGTTCAAATAAATATTATTGTTTTAGAAAAAAATATTAGGTTTAAATAAATAAGGTTATAGGTTTAAAAAGAGACAACTTGTGATTCAGAGTTCCAACTCCTAACGATCAAAGTTAAAGAATGTTTTAACAATTTAGTATTCAATGTAGGGCAAATTATATTCATTGTTTTGACTAATAAAAACACTTGAAACTTACTTGCGCAATCAAAGTAATCTGATTCATCACAGCTGTCCAAATCCCAATTTTCATCTACATTCATCCTGAAAAAGACAATGAAATGTTATAAAACTGTGTTATGAAGCTTCAACAATTTTTTTTAAACTTCGCTGTTGTAAAATTTCACATTCTAGGCATGTTCCACAGAGTTTGTAGACAATTGGTTGACGTTGCGCATGCTAAAAATATGCCTGGTTGTAAAGATTGTATTTCTAATAGCTCTCTTGACTCTACATATGAACAGTATTTCCATTATTCTCACAAAAACTGTATTTTTCTATGGTGCTCAGTAATAAGATTTTTTTGTAACCCAGCAATTTCAATGTACCTTGTTAATTATAATTTGATAAAATTATCTTTGTTACTATTTTGTGTGAAATATTTAATTACATTTTAATATTATGTAGCAAATGACAAACCCTATTGCACTGTAAAATGTTTGAAGGGTAATAAAGATTCTTATTCTTATTCTTTTAGGGGAGAGCAAGTTGATCTAGTCGTTAGAGCGCGGGACTGGGACGGGTGGCGTCGTCCTGTAATCCAGCTACTAGGAGGTCACGAATTGTGGATATTTATAGGGATGCACTGTGGATGCGATGCTCCCTGGTGTGGATTAACGTCCGCACTAGTGAGTACTATGACTATCCGCAGTACTATCTTGATAATTATACCAATTCGTAAATTACAAGGAAAAATGTGGTTCGGATTCCACTATAAACTGTAGGTCCCTTAGTTGCCATTAGCTGTATGGGCTATTAATTAACAGCTGTGTCTAAGGAACATGTCGGCCTTAGTCACTAACAAGACTACAAGATCGCGCCACTCATCCTACACTCATCCTTCACTCATATTTGGGTTAAAATACGCACATAGTGGCGTCCCCATCTTAAATAATTGATAATTGATAATAATTGACTTCGGTCCCGGGTTTAGATGCCACTAAATCTCCAATGGATTTTATCTAAGTGATATTGCTGCAACTCCTAGGTCTAGCCTTAAGTAATGTGAAAAACAATCCCGGGCTAGAAAATTTACCTAAAAATCAAATGTCAACTGTAATGCACACACTAAAGCCTTGTCATTAAAATAGTTTTAATGTTTTACACAGAGTACGTTAAAATCTAAAATAATAATCTGAGTGAGTAGCCATTACAGTAGTATAGCTATGATTGGAACTGAACTGGTTTTATTAACATGTTATATTAACTGGATGGCAATAACATGTCTCAAGAGGTTTTGGGAATTAGTGGTGTTGAGAATCGGTAAAGAAATTTACCCATTTAAAATTAAAATATTCAAATATATCTATGGTTGTACACATCTTACACATACCCGTTGTTGCAAGGTTCCCCTAAGAAGATTTCATCTGGGATGCCAGCATCACTCTCCGATTCACTCGTGTAATGACGAAATTCAGACTCTAAAACATATAAATGATACAAACATGTAAAACTATGTGAACAATACTTAAGAAGTCAATAAAAAAATAATGGAATAGCTATTTAATACTAGAGCTTGTATAAGTTTATGAAATCCTGAGCCCCATTCATAAATTCTTCCTAGGTAAAATTTGTGCAAAAACACATAGGCCTAGTTTAATATTGTCAATTGGTCCTAAATGACCATCTGCTTCTAATTTTTAACTGAAGTTATCATTGCAGTCTCGACCTTACAACAAAAACTGTCCCCAGAAATTTATATGCAAGCAGAAAGGTTGAACAGCTCAAAAATAGTTACATTGTAGTTGTTAGCCTCCGGATTGCCAAATAATATTAGAAAAGGTTTAAATACCTGCTATTAAGCAATCCAATTTTGTTGTTAGAACAACTAGTTTCGGTGTCTGTGTGACACCATCATCAGGCTGCACAAGGACAGTTTTCTTTCTTCATAATAAGAGCGTCATATTTACACGAAAATAAATAAACATCTAAACACGACACAAACACGAATACGAGACATTTATGGTAACTGATCAGTTAAGAAAACAGACGACGCTAACCCGGTGGAGTTTGAGTCCAGACTGCCCCCAAACTAGTCTAGACTCAAACTCCACCGGGTTAGCGTCGTCTGTTTTCTTAACTGATCAGTTACCATAAATGTCTCGTATTCGTGTTTGTGTCGTGTTTAGATGTTTATTTATTTTCGTGTAAATATGACGCTCTTCGTATGAAGAAAGAAAACTGTCCTTGTGCAGCCTGATGATGGTGTCACACAGACACCGAAACTAGTTGTTCTAACAACAAAATTGGATGGCTTAATAGCAGGTATTTAAACCTTTTCTAAAAATAGTTAAAACAATTGTAAAAATATTTATTTTACTTTATTTTCCAATGCTACAAAACAGCGCATGCCACTTACTTTGTTGCATTAATCATGCAAAAAGAATGTTAACAGAGTGTTACAATATAGAAATAAATACAACAAGGGAAAAATGTCCGTCTTCTATGGTGGCAGTCATACTCAACAGTTTTACTCAAAATATAAATATAAGAACATAAAATATAAGTAAGAATGACAGAATGAATATGAAAAACAGACATTTCACATTTTTTGAGACAAGTTAAATATATCAAACTGATAGGCGTTAAAAGTGTGAGACATTAGATTTGGTGGGGAATTGAATCCAATATTGGTACGAGAGTAACGAGCTAAATACAAGAGTGCTGCGTGAGTTGTGTCGTGGAACATGAAAATTTAGTTGTCCCAGCAAGTCACAATCGTCCAGAACTACCCTCACCAGTTTATGGAGATAAGATAAGGCGGCCAACTTCCTTCTGTCACTGAGACTAGTCATATCAAACATGGTCAAGAGCTGGTGGTATGGAATGTTAAATGTATAGTGACCAAATGTTTTAAAATACCGTACATAAATCTTAAAAATCTTTTTTTAATTGCCTCAATCACATCTACAAGATAGAGCTGATGAGGATACCATACCACTGATGCATATTCTAATCGTCAGCACACTAATGAACAAAATAATACTTTTACTGAATTTAAATTTGTTTAAAAGCTGCAAGATCTATGAATGAAACCTAATACTTTTAATACAAAGCATAATATTAAAAGATTACAGACTTATGGAATAAAGCTGTGATATTTCAACACATTTTTTATCAACTTGAAATTTTGAATTTTAGCATAAATATTAGCTAAATTTGTTTTTGTACAATCTTGTGCTGGCACTATTGCTGAACTATCAATAAATTGCATGCAAAGCTGATTAGCTTGTAGTAAGAAGCGCAGTCACCTGCACAATATCTTGGACTTTCAACTAAAATGGTTTCTGAGAAGAAAAAGAACTGGGCAAAGTTAACTAATGTATCTAATACCACAACTCACCTAAACTCTCAAAACTGGCCGCAATGTTTTGGATTTTCCTTTCACTGTATCTCTTCTGTTTGGAAGCAGATGATGACCTTAATCTCTCTTGTTGATGACAGTAAATGTTAAAAAGATTCTCTCCATTAACATCCTGAAAATGAGAGCCATTTATTTTTTTCAAGATTTATGACATATAAAACTTTAAGCTGTTTAAAAAATTAGATATACTATTAATTTCTACAAATAATCATTCTCTAAAACTTGCTACATTGTACATTGTATTTGTTTGAGGCTATTATTATTTTTTTAAATTGCAGCTTCGAGTATGCTTGCCTCTAAATTTAGATGTCTTTTGCAGTCACAGCAAATACGAAAACAACTTCTGTAGTCACGCGACATTGTGAACACAGGGTCCAGCATCACAATAAATTTGTGAATCCCTTCCATGGTGACGGCAAAATCAAGATCATTTCTTGCGGTCTCATTTAAATCGAGAACATACCTCATGGTCATGGTAAAATCAAGAACACTTTTCACGGTGACAGCAAAATCGTGAACATTGTCTGCAGTCATGGCAAAATCGAGAGAATATTTTGCGGTCTAATTAAAATCATAAATATCTTTTGCGGTAACAGCGACATTGTCGCCTTCCACAATTGCGGCACGACCGTGAAGATCACCCACTATAGCGACAAAAACTTTAATTTTCAATCAAGCATCTTTGCAAACACTACCCGCGATTGCTGAAATAAACGCTTGGCTGAGATTGACTCAACGCAAGCTTTGCCCGATAATCATATTCGGCCAAAATAGATCTCTTGTTACGACTTTTTTTCCAATCTGACCTAAAAATAACAGAGACTCCCTGACCCCTTGTAAAAAGTGTACTTGGTGACCATGAATCAATAGGAAACCCCAGATGTTGCTGCTGGGAAAACCAGAAAAAATTTTTATTTTATATTTTAAAATTCCAATTTTTTTAACAAGAGTTCTATGGCAACCCCAAGTGGACATGCGGCAAGTAGACAGTGAAACACTAGGTCGGATATTCTGAGGAGTCGGTTATGCCAAGGTCGGAAATTAGGGATTCTACTGTAATGGTTACTAAACAAAGGTATTTTCATTATTAAATAATCTTGTGACTTTATTCAAATGCTGGAAAAACTAAATCAGTAGTATTGTACAAACATTTTGGCACAAGGCTATTAGCCTCATTGTCTTATACAGTACTAGCATGTACTTACTTTATCCAATGCTTCTTCTAGGTTAACAAAATTGAAAGCAAAGTCCACCATTTGAATGTTTGGCAAACAATCAGGCGAGATAGGAAGACTCTCCAGAAGGTTGTCATACAAATCTACATACGCCAGCCTAGGCAACTCATCAAGACACTTCTCAACATCTGTGAGCTGAAAAATATAAGTAAAACACAACTTTACTCGAAGCTAAACTATGATCTGGGCTATTTCCAAAGTACAGCAGTCAAAAAGCAACCAAATCACTTCTGAAAACTTAACATTTAATATTCAATTATCTTAAATTTTATACTTACAAGAACAGACATGCAAAATTGTACAGTGTGAAAAGAATTCAGCTTAGGCCAACTGATAGGCAGTTTAAATTAACGTAAAACAAGATCAAAAATCTAAAAAAACACCTCACCTGGTTACGGTCAAGAACTAGCTTCTCCAAACTTTTCAGTTCGTTGAAGTTAGATGGAAGGTGTGATAGGCTGCAGTCTGAAAGTATTAACTCTCTAAGGAACTTCAATGTTACTATTTTGTCTGGAAGCCAATCCAGCTTGTTGTATGAAGCATCCAACACTTGTAGGTTCTTGAATCTGTCAATGTTCTCAGGCAATAAGGCTAGTCCTACTGTCGGCAGATGAAGTTCTAGGATGTTATTGGGATCGTAAAACAATTTCAAATCCAAGTCTGTAATGTAGTTTTCTGACTCCTTGGAGCCAGGGAGATTTCCTAGATGCACGTGTTGTAAAGATTCAAAACTATTTAGGGCAAACAAATGGACTGGTTTGCTTCCAGTGTTGTTTATCAAAAGTTTCTTCAGACTCTTGAGTGCAGACGTGCGATGGTGTTTTAACAGTGGTAATCTTCTTTCCAAAGCGGGATCGTCGAAGCAGAAATTGAAAGAGACATCCAACTCCTCTATGGCACGGCACTCTTCGCTAAGTAGCCACAAAGGCAATAAGTTTATGTCGTTATGGCTCAAGTTCAAACACTGAAGTAGTGGAGAACATTTGGGTGATTTAGGAAACTTAGTTATGCCATTTTTTGACAAGTCTAAGTGGGTTAATCGTTCAAGACCAAACTCTAAACATCGAGGTGGCTCACAAATTATGTTTTCAGACAGATTCAGGGTTTGCAACTTTTGAAGTTTTGCAAATGAATCGGGCAAATTGACCAATTGATTGCAAGACAAATTTATCTCTTGGAGATTTTGTAGTTCGCTTACGGTTTCTGGTAAGGTTTTGATTTTGTTATTACTTAAATCGAGTACTCTCACACAACTTGAAAGGTAGCGAAAGGTTTTTGGGCTAAGTGTTTCGATACATCTTCCAGATATGCTGTAATGACTCAGGGAGCAATGGTGGGGCTTAGACAACTGTTTTGACTGTTTGCCATGAGAATTCTTCTCAAAAATGCAAGTCTGAGCAAGGCGGTCAGACTTAATTGATGAAGTGCACTGTTTGCCATGAGAATTCTTATCTAAATTACAAGTCTCAGTAAGGCGATCAGACTTGCTTGATGAAGTGCTACCATCGGAGAGGAAACCGTCAATCCCGCTATCTGAGTTACTTTTAGCCAATTCAACTATTGAACCACACTCAGAATCATCCATTTTTCAAAACCAGACCTGGAAAAAAATATAATAATCAATGGAAAATTAACGGTTTTCCTATATAATTTGTTTAATACCCCCGCCGCAGCAAACCTGCAGACTAAGCGAATTTCCATTTGCCTGATTGGATTTACACTAAAATGTCTACTTAAAAATATCACATTTATTCCCTATTTAAATAGCATTAGTTAAAGAGTACTTAGGTTTGCTGCAATAGGGAGGGTAAAAAGGTTTTTTTTTGTAAAATGTTAATAGTTTAGTATGAAATGAATGCATTTTCCAAATTTGATCAAAATATGTTCATAAACAAGCAAACAACAACAGTTTATTTATTCTCCTTGAGAATAACATGGGAATTTTAAATTTACAGTTTTTTGGAATTTTCTTCATAACCATTAGGAGCATAATAACGCTTCAATATATTAAATTATCTATTTTTCTTAAGCGCTACAAAATTGTTTGGAAAGAAATTGCTAAATTATAAGTTTTTAGGGTCAAAAATGAGAAAACCCAATTTTTACCCCCAAAAAACGCCCCATAGACCACTGTTCCCATCGTCCGATCATGCTGGCTCGCGAACTCGTTCGAATTAACGTAGGTTTACACGTTTGTAACAAATTTCATCAAAATCGGATGGTTTATACTCGAGTTATCGCGCTAAAGGACACATATATAAATATAGTGGCTTAAAGGGACATAAGTCCCTGAAAAGCTCAAATGTAAAAAAAAACTATTGTAATACAGTATAAACAAACTTAAATAAATCTAATACATATATCAGATATAAATCCCAGTACAACATATCTTTTGTGTAAAAAATAGTTTGTTATTTGTCTTTGTTTGCTTTAGTTGATGTAATTTTTATTAAAGGCAGCAAACTTGTTTGTGAATAAATATTAGTTTACTAATGTAGCTTTGGTCTTTTGATAATAAAAAGGCTTTCCTGATAAAAGTATTGGAAATTGTCTTCTTCATATATGAAAAGGCAAATAAAGGTGTGATGAGATAAGCTTAGTTCTTAGTTAAAACCGCTAAATTAGCATCCCGACCCAGTTATTATTTCTAAGTGTATGCTCCTTTTGTAAACACTACAATAAACCTCAAATTAAAAATGTTAGTAAGTATACAAAAAAGTGTAGAATAAATCGTTAACAAATGTTTTGAAATCAAAACAAAGCAGAAGTTTTCAACAATCTTGAATCAATTATTATTTAGTCAATGTAGTTATTTCATGTTGAACATTCCTTCAACACAACAATAACCGTTAAGTTAGAAGATAAAAACTTTATAATTTTTTTCAGCCATTCTAAGTTTAATTCATTTGATTTGAGTACAGTAAATAATACCAATTGTACAGTAAAATAATTGATTTCAACATTTAGACGTAACTAAAAAGTATTTATTATTATAGGTAGGCCTAAAGTTATCCCTGGTTTTATATCGTATAGGCTATAGTACATTGCAGAATTGACTGGCAAATGAGTAATCCAAATGTAATATTGCTTACTGGTTTGATGATTAATCACGATCAGCTGTATTGAAGTAAACAAAAATCATCAGTAATTTTTTTTTTTTAAAGAGGTTGGCGGCCTCTAATGCATCTAATGCATGGCTTCTAATGCATTTCTTATGGAGAACATTTTACGTTATATCCAATTTTGTGTTAAAATTTAGGGAATTTCACTATTTTTCCCGCTGTCACAGGATCGAGACCTTTAATTTGAGCCCTCTCCCGTCGTTCTACGACTTCCCAGTCGCCCACAACTTTGACGCAAAGAATTGGCTTACGTAATTAATATATAGGCTAGATAGATATATGAATTTGAGCGGATGGCATTTTTGGTCTCTAGGGACCTCAAAACAAAAAAGTAAATCGGTCCCGGGTCCAGGTCTTACCATGAGTACTACAGTAATAGCTTATTCAATTCCCTATAGGGGAAATTCGCTAAAATCAAATTGGTTATGATTACGAATTAACTATTTCTTCAATTTCTTATAGAATTCCATTTAATTTATTAAAGTCATGGACAGGCCTAACCAGAAGGCAGTTATAGTATTAAATAGAGATCTACGTGATAAATGTTTTACCAAAGCCTCTTCAAGGCAGCTACAAGACGTAAAGTGGCAACAACGCTTTAACGGCAAACCAAAACAGCATTTATAATGGAGCATCTGTTCAATGTTTATGTTTACACCTTTGGTGATTTTTTTCTCTTTCAACGCCAGTGGGATTTCACGAGAGAGTTACGAGAGATAAATGTTTAGTGGATGTGCCACTGCCAGGGATTGAACCCGTCCCTCCTGCACCAAAGTCCGAGACGCTAACCACTAGACTAGCAACACAACCAAACCTTTTTTTATTGATTTGATTTGATTAACAAATTACAGAGGACGTATGGTGTCAGCCCATTGGTTGTTCATTAAAGGCCTCCAGTACCAACTTGTTACAGTTTATCATCATCAGCAGCATTTACACATTATTTGTGAATGGCATGTTCTATGTTTGTTGGAATTACACAGAGCAGACACATAAGCCAATTATTTGTTTGTAACAGTTAGGCCTAACTTACATAGAGCAAAAGTAAGTTTGACTAAAGTAGGCTAGTTAAAATGTAATACCCCTAACAATAACTGTAGGCTAAATAGAGGTGTCAAGGCTCCATTTAGCTGTAATAATAACTCTAGTAATCTTTTGTAACATGAGTCTAACTAACTAGGCCTAGGTGAATACTGCACAGCCACTATACCAGTAAGGTCTGCTGAGTTATTAACCAACAGGTGTAAGGTTTGGGATATGAAAGCTTTGAGATGTGTAGTTTTCCAGTTTTAAAATTTGCAAATGGTTTGTCATTAACAGGTAAAGATCATCTAGATCAGATCATTAGGCATCAGTTATCTAGATTAAGCAAATTAATAAGATTTTACACTTCAGGGAGGTGTAGGTTAAAATGTGTGACAGATTGAATGTTCATTTTTATCCATTTAGTACTTACTTCACAAAAGGGGTATTCAGGGAGGGGGCCCGAGATGGCCGCCCCCAAAGTTATACAGTATAGGCTACCTACCGGTATATTTTTATTAGGGATGTGTTGATTCTTGATAAGTTACCAATGCTCAATATTGTACCATATTACTTGGATACTACGACCTTGGTATCGGTATCAAGAATCGATCGTAAAAAAAAAGGATTCCGACAAACTAACTTATATCAGACACTTTTGCAATAATCGGGCGATAGAAAATTACCGCTTATGCAATGGTAAGTTAATTTTCTTAGGATTTTGCTGTAATTCCAGGAGATGGCGATGATGTATCCACAACAGCGAGAGATAATCACGATATTACCTACGCCACTGCTTCACATTCAATAATTTAATCAAGATTGGAAGCCAAATCAAAAGCGCAAAATATAAAATCAGATTCACCCTAACATAACTTTAAATGGGTACACTTCCATATCTGTTGACACTTAAAAAACCAGATGAAATATCGATCAATGTATCAATTATTCGATATATCGTTTGGTTAGTTAGGTTAGGTTAACCTTTCCTAACTAACCAAACGATATATCGAATTAAAAAATCAAATAATCAATATTACTCATTAGGTTGTTTATTGGTGTGAACCTGGCAATAACTCCAGCCATAAGTAGTGCGCGCGCCCGAAAAAATCTATTGCTGGCCGTTTTGCGGCAAAATGCGACCGCGTAACATGAAACCGATGATGTCACCAGATAGAGGACAGTTTAACGGACACAACAGCATCAATATCATGTACCTGGGGAATAAGAAAGGGGGGGTAAAGTCAGCAATAAGTAGTGGGCGCGCCCGAAGAAATCTATTGCCGGCCGTATTGCGGAAAAATACGTCCGCGAGCAATAATGACGACGATGCCAACAGATAGAGGACACTTCAACGGACACGACAGTATCAACATCATGTACCTGGGGAGTAATTTAGGGGGGGTAAAACCAGCAATAAGTAGTGGGCGCGCCCGAAAAAATCTATTCCCGGCCGTATTGCGGAAAAATACGTCCGCGAGCAATAATAACGACGATGCCAACAGATAGAGGACACTTCAACGGACACGACAGTATCAACATCATGTACCTGGGGAGTAATATAAGGGGGGTAAAACCAGCAATAAGTTGTGCGCGCGCCCTTTCAAATCTATTGCTGGCCGTATTTCGGAGAAATACGTCCGCGAGCAATAATAACGACGACGCCAACAGATAGAGGACCCTTCAACGGACACCACAGTATCAACATCATGTACCTGGGGAGTAATATAAGGGGGGTAAAACCAGCAATAAGTTGTGCGCGCGCCCTTTCAAATCTATTGCTGGCCGTATTGCGGAAAAATACGTCCGCGAGCAATAATAACGACGACGCCAACAGATAGAGGACACTTCAACGGACACGACAGTATCAACATCATGTACCTGGGGAGTAATTTAGGGGGGGTAAAACCAGCAATAAGTAGTGGGCGCGCCCGAAAAAATCTATTCCCGGCCGTATTGCGGAAAAATACGTCCGCGAGCAATAATAACGACGATGCCAACAGATAGAGGACACTTCAACGGACACGACAGTATCAACATCATGTACCTGGGGAGTAATTTAGGGGGGGTAAAACCAGCAATAAGTAGTGGGCGCGCACAAAAAAATCTATTCCCGGCCGTATTGCGGAAAAATACGTCCGCGAGCAATAATAACGACGACGCCAACAGATAGAGGACCCTTTAACGGACATCACAGTATCAACATCATGTACCTGGGGAGTAATATAAGGGGGGTAAAACCAGCAATAAGTTGTGCGCGCGCCCTTTCAAATCTATTGCTGGCCGTATTGCGGAGAAATACGTCCGCGAGCAATAATAACGACGACTCCAACAGATAGAGGACACTTCAACGGACACGACAGTATCAACATCATGTACCTGGGGAGTAATTTAGGGGGGGTAAAACCAGCAATAAGTAGTGGGCGCGCCCGAAAAAATCTAGTCCCGGCCGTATTGCGGAAAAATACGTCCGCGAGCAATAATAACGACGATGCCAACAGATAGAGGACACTTCAACGGACACGACAGTATCAACATCATGTACCTGGGGAGTAATTTAGGGGGGGTAAAACCAGCAATAAGTAGTGGGCGCGCCCGAAAAAATCTATTCCCGGCCGTATTTCGGAAAAATACGTCCGCGAGCAATAATAACGACGACGCCAACAGATAGAGGACCCTTCAACGGACATCACAGTATCAACATCATGTACCTGGGGAGTAATATAAGGGGGGTAAAACCAGCAATAAGTTGTGCGCGCGCCCTTTCAAATCTATTGCTGGCCGTATTGCGGAGAAATACGTCCGCGAGCAATAATAACGACGACGCCAACAGATAGAGGACACTTCAACGGACACGACAGTATCAACATCATGTACCTGGGGAGTAATTTAGGGGGGTAAAACCAGCAATAAGTAGTGGGCGCGCCCGAAAAAATCTATTCCCGGCCGTATTGCGGAAAAATACGTCCCCGAGCAATAATAACGACGATGCCAACAGATAGAGGACACTTCAACGGACACGACAGTATCAACATCATGTACCTGGGGAGTAATTTAGGGGGGGTAAAACCAGCAATAAGTAGTGGGCGCGCCCGAAAAAATCTATTCCCGGCCGTATTGCGGAAAAATACGTCCGCGAGCAATAATAACGACGATGCCAACAGATAGAGGACACTTCAACGGACACGACAGTATCAACATCATGTACCTGGGGAGTAATTTAGGGGGGGGTAAAACCAGCAATAAGTAGTGGGCGCGCCCGAAAAAATCTATTCCCGGCCGTATTGCAGAAAAATACGTCCGCGAGCAATAATAACGACGATACCAACAGATAGAGGACACTTCAACGGACACGACAGTATCAACATCATGTACCTGGGGAGTAATAAGAGCGGGGTAAAACCAGCAATAAGTAGTGCGCGCGCCAGATAAAATCTATTGCTGGCCGTATTGCCGAAAAATACGTCCGCAAGCAATATTAACAATGATGCCAACAGATAGAGGACACTTCAACGGACACGACAGTGTCAATATAATGTACTTGGGGAGTAATATAGGGGGGTAAAACCAGCAATAAGTTGTGTGCGCGCCCGTTTAAGTCTATTGCTGGCCGTATTGCCGAAAAATACGTCCGCGAGCAATAACTTTTACCCCCCCTAAATTACTCCCTAGGTACATGAAGTTGATACTGTCGTGTTCGTTGAAGTGTCCTCTATCTGTTGGCGTCGTCGTTATTATTGCTCGCGGACGTATTTCTCCGCAATACGGCCAGCAATAGATTTGAAAGGGCGCGCGCACAACTTATTACTGGTTTTACCCCCCTTATATTACTCCCCAGGTACATGATGTTGATACTGTCGTGTCCGTTGATTTGTCCTCTATCTGTTGGCATCATTGTTAATATTGCTTGCGGACGTATTTTTCGGCAATACGGCCAGCAATAGATTTTATCGGGCGCGCGCATTACTTATTGCTGGTTTTACCCCCCCTAAATTACTCCCCAGGTACATGATGTTGATACTGTCGTGTCCGTGGAAGTGTCCTCTATCTGTTGGCGTCGTCGTTATTATTGCTCGCGGACGTATTTCTCCGCAATACGGCCAGCAATAGATTTGAAAGGGCGCGCACACAACTTATTGCTGGTTTTACCCCCCTTATATTACTCCCCAGGTACATGATGTTGATACTGTCGTGTCCGTTGAAGTGTCCTCTATCTTTTGGCATCGTCGTTATTATTGCTCGCGGACGTATTTTTCCGCAATACGGCCGGGAATAGATATTTTCGGGCGCGCCCACTACTTATTGCTGGTTTTACCCCCCTTATATTACTCCCCAGGTACATGATGTTGATACTGTCCTGTCCGTTGAAGTGTCCTCTATCTGTTGGCATCATTGTTATTATTGCTCGCGGACGTATTTTTCCGCAATACGGCCGGGAATAGATTTTTTCGGGCGCGCCCACTACTTATTGCTGGTTTTACCCCCCTTATATTACTCCCCAGGTACATGATGTTGATACTGTCCTGTCCGTTGAAGTGTCCTCTATCTGTTGGCATCGTCGTTATTATTGCTCGCGGACGTATTTTTCCGCAATACGGCCGGGAATAGATTTTTTCGGGCGCGCCCACTACTTATTGCTGGTTTTACCCCCCCTAAATTACTCCCCAGGTACATGATGTTGATACTGTCGTGTCCGTTGAAGTGTCCTCTATCTGTTGGCGTCGTCGTTATTATTGCTCGCGGACGTATTTCTCCTCAATACGGCCAACAATAGATTTGAAAGGGCGCGCGCACAACTTATTGCTGGTTTTACCCCCCTTATATTACTCCCCAGGTACATGATGTTGATACTGTCGTGTCCGTTGAAGTGTCCTCTATCTGTTGGCATCGTCGTTATTATTGCTCGCGGACGTATTTTTCCGCAAAACGGCCGGGAATGGATTTTTTCGGGCGCGCCCACTACTGGTTTAACCCCCCCAAAATTACTCTCCAGGTACATGATGTTGATACTGTCGTGTCCGTTGAAGTGTCCTCTATCTGTTGGCATCGTCGTTATTTTTGCTCGCGGACGTATTTTTCCGCAATACGGCCGGCAATAGATTTTTTCGGGCGCGCCCACTACTTATTGCTGACTTTACCCCCCCTTTCCAATTCCCCAGGTACATGATATTGATACTGTTGTGTCCGTTAAACTGTCCTCTATCTGGTGACATCATCGGTTTCATGTTACGCGGTCGCATTTTGCCGCAAAACGGCCAGCAATAGATTTTAGCGGGCGGGCGTACTACTTATTGCCAAGTTATTGCCAGGTTCACACAAGTAGGTTGTTTGTGCCAACAGATATGGAAGTGTACCCCTTTAAACCATTAATTTAAACGGTTCCATGCTCTATACCTAACTTAAGGCCTAGGCCTAGGCCTCTAAGGCTTTCTAGACAAACTCTAAGTTAAAAGTAGGCCTATAAAACACTTTCCCACGAAAATTGTACGCAATTACGTTGGTGTCAGAAACAATCAGAAGAAATATGTAGACCTAATTGCTTGAGTTTGAAACAATACCATATTGGAATGCGTAAACATACCCTAACCATTAAATGTATCGTAAGCGTCAAAATAGTTGAATATCTTGTTAGGCCTACTTACCTTTAAAGAACATAAATGAACTGAACTAGGCCTATGTAAAGCAGAATAACAAGATAAGACTTCAATTCTCCGTTCCGTAGCCGTAGCACAAACAATAATAACGAGACAAATAGGCAACAGGCAGTCTCTATTAAATTACTTAATGGTGTTCGTTCTCTTAATTGTGTAAGGACTAAGGAGAGAGCAGTATCGTATCGTTCATATCAGTGTCAAGTCAATCAAATCAGGCAGGAAACGAAACATCGAACGAAAATCCAAAACTGTAAGCCACAGTCAGTCACAGATCGAGCAGTTCACTTCACTTCACTTCACTGATTTGATTTGGATTTGGATTTGGATTTGGATTTGATTTGGAATTTGGATTTTATTAGGTTAGGTTAGCTTTAGGAGTAGGAGGGGGGAGGCCACTTCTTCACATGTACAGAAACCTTATAATGACGTCACATGACTATCGACTACTTTTCAGCTATCGGAATCGTGATGGTTTATGCAATCGATTATCGAAGGCCGAAGGGACACGGCTTTACATCGTCACTTATTCACTTTGCTGTGCCCGGTGACCATGTTAATGCACTCTAATCTAATCAAGGTTTATTTCCACCAAAATACAAAAATAACAAATAATGCAAGAAAGCAATTATATATGAAGCATAACATAATATATATATAAATAAAAGTAATTGAGTAATGTTACATATGAAAGGACTTATGGTATATAACTAAAATGAGAAAAATTTGATTTATTACATTGAATTCATGTAACATAATTAATAAAAAAAAAATTAAAATGGTTCCTTAACGTAAAAATAAATTTGATGGGAAACGAGACTATATGGGCACTAGTGGCCTGTGCGTAGGCTCGAGTTGAATAATATAGAATGTGGTACGATCAAAAAGTAATAAACTATCCTACAAATTAATCGGATTACTACTACTTAATGTTTCCTTATTTATATTATGTCCCAGTACTTTCATTTATAAATAACAAGATAAGGCTTAGTAAGTATAACGTTATTGTGAATTAAATGGAGCCAGAATAATATAATTGGGTAAAACTTATGGTGTTTTATTAAGATGTACTAAAGGGGGAAATGAGAAAAAAGCTCTACTTTTTTCTGTAAACCTAAACCATTGATTAATGTACTCACAGTACTTAGTCAATGGTTAAACTGTAGGGCCTATTTTACGTGACTGTAAATTCCATAAAATAATATATCTAAAACAGTCCTCTTGGGCTTCTTAAATTGTCACCTTACACTGATGGGCAATATCTTTTAGTAAATCATTCCCAAACATTAACATAACGTTAACATGTCAAAGTTACAATAATTATTATTTCACTCTCTTCTAGAATCGATAATAATTCCTGTAATTCGTCTACTTTAATTACAGTTATTGTATTATTGTGGATGCTATGAAATAAAGTCTTAGTATTCAACGTCCTGTGAACTCAAGTTTTTATTTTATAAGTCAGGTAAATACGAAAACAATTGCAAACATCTTGGATGTTCAATCCAAAGTATAAGTAATTATTTTATTCCCATCCTGTAAAGAATATTATTGTATTTCTACTATTTGATTTATAATGAATAAACTACTGAGAGTATTCAATTCGTCAAATAAAGTGTTACAAAAAAAACCCCTTTACTTATTCGGTGCAACCGATACTTACATTCCGAAGAAAAACCCGTAACCACCCGGTACAATCGATATATACATTCGATATTTATGACGTCAGTATAAGGTTTCTGTACATGTGAACTTGTGCTCTCCTAGGAGGGGAGGAGTGGAGAGAGTATACAAAGAAAACTTTTTTTTAAGTTTTCCAATTTCCATTGATTACCCTTTCAATGCTGACTTGGATCAAGACTTGGATGTAGTTCATGAAGCTTTGACGTCTGAAGTTGCATTTACATTGGAGTTTTTCAATTTGTTGCAAAACGTAGGAGTATGTTTTGGCTATGCCTATGGAATTACATAGCCTCCTAATAAAATATAGTTTTAAGTTATAACTATCTGAAGAACGTCATTTTTGTTGCAAATACCTACTAAACACCCTTGGTTTATTTATCCTCAAGTGGGCGGAAGACTATCTTACTGGGGGGGAGGGGGTGGTGCTTGAGTGAAAAAGTGTCCCTTTGCTGGCAACTCCAATGATTTTATCCAACTCTCAGGCGTCACCAGGCACGGCCGCCTTTAACTACAGGCCGCGGCCTGGTAGAATTGGCAACATCGCAAGTGGTGTTGTTCAGTGACAGACGTCCCATAAGATAACATGGCAGACAGGTGACATCAGATCATTAATTCGCACTTTATTGATTTAATTTTTAATTTATGAACATAAATTTATTAAAATATTGAAAATAAAACATACAGAATTGAAACAATATGAATTAAAATATATATCTGTACATTTGTAAGCGGAGTTAATATTGTCATAGTCCATTAATCAATCTTTCGTAAATACACAAATACCATTAGTTGCTTCCAAAAAAATCAGCTGTTACAACACCACTTGCGACGTTGCCAGTTCGAAGGCCGCGGCCTGTAATTAAAGGCGGCCGTGCACCAAGGCTCTTTGGCTCCTCACCTCTTTTATAGCCTTTATAATGCCATCGTGGAAATGCTTGATGTGGAGGACCTTTGTTTGCGGACGATGTTAGGATTTGTTTTAAGTATCTCGGTCCACACACAGGCTTTGTCTATGTAGGGATCATCAACTTAATATTATTTTTTTAACTATTTATTTTCGTAGGATAAATAATTGTTAATTTTGATTTTTTATTACACTCCGAGGACACTCTCTGTCAACGTCAACAAAGCTAGCCTAAACCCCCCGATTTGGTATGTTTCAAACAACATGCTCCTGAACGTGTCCTAATTGCATCAGTATGACTTTTAGTGAGATTCGCGCACTCCACACATTGCAGAGTACTCCTGTATGAACAAACCTCTGAAGAGATGTCTCCACTGGTAAAAGAATTGAGAGTGGTCTTCTCATCGGACTGCTCCTTCATCGAGCATGTAGATTCTAAGGCTTTATATTTTGTGCTACCCGTGAACTAAATTGTCATTGCTCTGAAGACTCTGTATTTTGTTCCCTTATTGGACAGCTGTTTGGAGTACGCCAGCCAGTTTTGGTCCACCCCCATGATAGGAACCGCTTTCACCTGGTGCTCATCAACAAACTTGAAGGTATCCAGAAGAAATGCCTCAGATTTTTCAGTGTCTGTCAAGGCATGCATGCAGCAGTACTGTGTAGTCCCAGTGGCCGTTCTGCAAAATAATTCAAAGCTACAATTTCTTCATTTGAGACGCTATGTTGTAGACGTTGTTTTCCTCCACGAACGGCTCAATGGCCAAATTAATTGTCCAGCTTCACTTGCCCAAGTGGATCTTCGTGCCTTCTAGAACCAGTTCACAAGATTTGTTCGGCAGGCGGCACTTTATAGTCAATAAACTAATAAAGATTATCAGCATGCTCCTCTGGCCCTGGCAATATTTATTCGTCTTGGAAACACACTGGTGCTGGGGGGTCAGTATCGACATCTTCGGAGATAGGTACCCGCGGTACCACAGAAACCTTTCAAAGGAAGGCTCCAGTCTGACTTTCTCTTTCATAAACAACAAATTTGAACAAATAGGTTATTTATATTTTTTTATTTGATAGATTAAAATATTTACAATTTTTAAAAAATATTTAATAATTATTGTGTATGTAAACTTATGGTGTAGTCTACAATAATATTTTGTCACTAACAGTGACCTGGCACGAGTTGCTGCCCAAATTTTGAAAATGTATTTATTTCTAATCAAGTTCTAAGCCATAACATAGATAGGTACATTTCAATAAAAATAACACTTAATTTTTCTTGTAGCAGCAACATATTTACAACTAAGGTACAGTAAGTAGGTACAATAATTGTTTTGAGACTGTGTAAATGGCTTATGATGTTTTACAGTAATTGGTTCCGATTTTGCCTGCGGTGTTGAGGCAATCAACAATTAATTATTATCAATTACCAATCATTGAGATGGGTAAAACTATTTGGTATGTATTTTAAACCAAAATGAGTGTAGAATGGTGTGAGATGATCTGTGTCAAGGCGTGCGTGGGTCCAATTTTGAATTGAACCATCAAAAAGCTAACGACTTTTCTCAGGATCGAACCTGTGACCTTTTGATTGCTATAGGCGAGCACTTGTAAATACAGGTAATTAAATATATGTACGGGTACCTATATTTTACAGAGGCACAATCTGCCTGGCTTAGCTGAATTACTTTAAGGCTTTTACCTTACTTAAAATAAACATATCAGCAATCTAACACAACTTTCTCTGGCTTGTCATCAACTATGTATGTGTAAGCTCTGGGAATAACATGAATAACATTGATATTTACTGGGTATAGGCACAACAGTTGTAAAAACATTCAAACATAATTTTTAGAGCAATGGGGGTTGTATAATTTTGTTTAGAGTTAAAAGGACTGTATATAACATGCTACATTTCACTTTAACAGTTAGAGCTGTTATTGTAAAATTAGATTTTCCATGAGAAAATCAATATTAAAAATAAAAATTGTAAAGCCTGGGGATACCTTGGAAAAGTATCCATGCACATACCAAATTTCATCACAATCAGACCACAGGTGTTGTCTGTAGCTTTGTACACATCCACACACAGACATCACTTTTTAGGTTCAGGGGGCCCAAAATAGATATGTCCACCATAAATAACTCATAGTCAAAAATGTTGAGGAAAATAACGCTTTCTCCAATTATATGTAGGGAGGGCGATGAAATAAAACTCAGTGACAACAGCGCTTCTGATTCTGGTGTGGACACTGCCATAACTCAGTAGAGGTTCAGTGAGTTATGGCATAAAAGAAACTGGCAGATTCAAATTAAACTTATTTTGGCTCAGTGAGTTATATGGCATAGATAAAACATAGTCAATGGTTATAGGTCCAGTCTTTATCATGTAATTGAATTGCAAAAATAGTAATAAAATAAGGCTAGATTCTTTTACTTAAAAAATAAAATAACAGTTGTACAGTATAAGGTTCTAATATTCCAGTTTAAATTGATTGACTCAGGGTAATTTGGTCGGCTCTCTTGTTTTTCTTACCTGGTCGCTACCCTACTGGACTTAAGCAGTTGTATTTGAGTGCAT